GACGCTTCACATGGACGTGTGGGGCCCGGCCCGCGTCCGTGGACAGGGTCACGAGCGCTACTTCCTGCTGGTGGTTGACGACTACTCGCGTTACACCACAGTCTTCCCCTTGCGCAGCAAGGGTGATGTCACTGAGGTGTTGATCGACTGGATCCGCGCAGCTCGTCTCCAGCTCAGGCAGAGCTTCGGCTCGGACTTTCCTGTTCTGCGTCTGCACTCTGACAGAGGTGGAGAGTTCTCCTCTGGCCTTCTGCGAGCCTACTGTCGTGCACGAGGCATCCGCCAGACCTTCACGCTTCCGGACTCTCCACAGCAAAATGGGATTGCTGAGCGCCGCATTGGCATGGTCATGGACGTCGCCCGTACGTCCATGATGCATGCGGCTGCCCCCCATTTTCTGTGGCCGTTTGCTGTTCGGTACGCGGCGCATCAGATCAACCTTCACCCCAGGGTCTCCATGCCGGAGACCTCCCCAGCATTGCTGTGGACGGGGAAGGTTGACGATGCGTCTGCGTTCCGTGTCTGGGGATCTCGGGCGTTTGTCCGCGACTTGTCTGCGGACAAGCTGTCCCCTCGTGCTGCTCCTTGCGTCTTCCTTGGCTTCCCCCCTGACGCCCCAGGGTGGCAGTTCTACCACCCCACCTCTCGCCGTGTTCTGTCCTCCCAGGACGTCACGTTTGACGAGTCGGTCCCCTACTACCGCCTCTTCCCCTACCGCACTCCGTCCCTCCCCCCGCCACCGCTCTTCCTTGTACCAAGTCCCCCCCCGGTAGACCCCCTCCCCCCTCAGGGTCCTGCCCCTTCAGGTGTGTCCCAGGTAGACGCAGTCGAGCCTGTCGAGGTTACTGGTGACTCTGGTGCTGCTGAGGGTGCTGAGCCTGGGGGTGCTGACTCTGGGGGTGCTGAACGTGTGGGTGCTACGCCTGGGGGTGCTGAGCCGGAGGGTGCTACTACTGGGGGTCCTGAGCTTGGGGGTGCTGAGCCTGGGGGTGCTACTACTGGGGGTGCTGAGCCTGGGGGTGCTGAGCCTGGGGGTGCGGAGCCTGAGGGAGCTGGGCCTGCTCGTGTGGCGTCTGGCGGTGCTGAGCCTGGAGGTTCTCCGGGTGCTTCGTCTCGGCGGGAGCCACTCTCTCCACAGGAGCTGCGCGAGTGGTTTGCCCGGCGCTGGAGGCGTGCTGCTGGAGCTGGAGGTTCTTCGGCTGCTGAGGGTGCTGGTGCCGTGGGTCCCGGAGGTGCTCGTACTGGGAGTACTGGAGCTGCTGGGCCTGCGGGTACGACTGGAGCTGGAGCTGCTGAGGGTGTTGACGCTGAGGCTACTGCTGTCGGTCCTGGAGGCGGTCCTGCTGGGGGTACTACTGGTGCGGCTGGAGGTCCTGGAGCTGGAGGTGCTGCTGGCGCTGGTGCTGCCGCTGGGGGTACTGGTGTTGTCCCTGCTGTGTCTGGAGTCGCCGCGCGGCCTCGGCCGTACTTCGTTCCGCTCCTTCAGCAGGTTCTTGGTCTCCCGCCTTCTACTGGTCCTCCTCCTCCCTTAGAGTGTCCACAGCCTGTCCCGTCACAGTTCCAGTTACAGCCGGCCTCCCCACTGCCCGCTCCCTCTCCCTACACTGGTCCTACTGGAGGTCTTGCTGAGCGTCGTGAGCCTGCGTCCCGCCCTGCGTCGCCTGTCCGTGCTGCTCGCACTAGTGGTCGTGGTTCGCGTCAGCGTCCTCCTCCTGTCCCTGGCACGCACCGGATGTCTCTGCGTCCGTCCACTGCTCCTCTGCGTGCCCCTTTGCCTTCTCCTCCTGAGTCCTCTCTTCCTGCTCTTCCCGACCCGGAGTCGGACTCTCTTCGTGCTGCCAGTCCTACTGTCACGCGTCTCCTTGCTACTGTCGTCACTGACCCTTCCTTTGAGTCCACTGCTGCGTCTGCCCTAGTTGCTGAGCTCGTCGACTTTGCTGCTCGCTGTCGTCTAGACTACGCTGCTAGTCTTGTCGATGAGTCTGAGTCTGTCTGTCCTCCGTCCGTCGGGGGTGAGTGTGCCCTTGGCACGGACGTCCTTCAGGACAGGCAGGAGGAGTTCCAGTGTTTGGCTGCTGCTTCACCTCATCTCGTGTCCGTACTGCTTACCCCTGAGGGAGACCCGGATGCACTTGACATCCCGACTCCGCGCTCTTACGCGGAGGCGATAGAGGGTCCCTACTCCTCTCAGTGGCAGGCAGCTATGGACACAGAGATGGCTTCCTGGAAGTCCACAGGCACCTACGTTGACGAGGTTCCCCCGCCTGGGGCGAACATCGTCAGTGGCATGTGGATTTTCAGGGTGAAGCGGCCGCCGGGTTCTCCGCCTGTCTTCAAGGCGCGTTACGTGGCTCGTGGCTTCAGTCAGCGGCAGGGAGTTGACTACTTTCAGACCTTCTCTCCCACCCCGAAGATGACCACTCTTCGGGTACTGCTGCACATAGCTGCTCACCGCGACTACGAGCTGCACTCTCTTGACTTCAGCACTGCTTTCTTGCAGGGCAGCCTGCACGAGGAGATCTGGCTGCGTCGCCCACCTGGCTTCACTGGGTCTTTTCCTCCTGGCACCCAGTGGAGCCTCCGGCGGCCAGTCTACGGTCTCCGCCAGGCACCGCGTGAGTGGCACGACACACTGAGGACTACACTTGCGGCTCTTGGGTTTGCTCCCTCTACTGCCGACCCGTCGCTGTTTCTGCGCACCGACACTACTTTGCCGCCGTTCTACATCCTCGTGTACGTCGACGACTTGGTCTTTGCCACAGCTGACACTGCTGGACTCGCCCACGTGAAGTCCGAGCTGCAGAAGAGACACACGTGCACAGACCTGGGTGAACTGCGCAGCTACCTTGGCTTGCAGATCACCCGGGACAGAGCACGCCGCACCATTACCCTGACTCAGTCACACATGGTGCAGCAGGTCCTTCAGCGCTTCGGCTTCACGTACTCCTCGCCTCAGGCCACTCCTCTGCCTACTCGCCACTCGCTCTCAGCTCTGCCTTCGGATGAGTCCGTAGAGTCGAGTGGCCCGTACCCAGAGCTTGTTGGCTGCCTCATGTACCTGATGACCTGCACACGACCTGACCTTGCATACCCTCTTAGCATTCTCGCACGCTATGTTGCTCCTGGGAGACACAGACCGGAGCACATGGCTGCAGCGAAGAGGGTGTTGCGCTACTTGTGCAGTACGTCGGGCATGGGGCTTGTGCTTGGAGGGCAGAGTCCAGTGGTCCTCACTGGGCACGCAGACGCTTCTTGGGCTGACGACCAGGCTACGCAGCGGTCGTCACAGGGTTACACCTTTAGCCTTGGTTCCGGTTCTGTTTCGTGGCGGGCTACCCGCTCGTCTTCTGTTCTCGGCTCCAGTTGTGAGGCTGAGATCTACGCTGGGGCCATGGCTGCACAGGAGCTTCGCTGGCTGACCTACCTGCTGACTGACCTCGGAGAGCCGCCTCGTTCTCCTCCAGTGCTGTACGTAGACAACAAGGCCATGCTGGCCTTGTGTCGAGAGCAGAGACTGGAGCACAGAACGAAGCACATTGCTCTCCGCTACTTCCTTGCTCGTGAGCTACAGCAGCGTGGTCAGCTGCGACTTGCGTACGTGGCCTCTCAGGCCAACACTGCTGATATCTTCACCAAGGCACTTGCGCCTTGTGATCATCAGCGTTTCTGTACTCAGCTGGGCCTTGTGCCTACCTTGCCTCACTTGCTCACCCCTTGACCTTGTTTGTACTGTTGCATATATATATACACGTGCTCTTGCTTGTCCCACTCCTCATATATATATATGTAATCCTGCATGTGAACTGGCCTTGTGGCCTTGAACTTGTGCTCAGAATGTGTGGTGACTTTGTGATCCACCCTGAGCTTGCTTTGCTTTGCTTGACTGGTCTTGTGACCCCTTGTTCTCCCCCACTTTGCCTATGGGGGTGTGTCAGATTTATATGACAGAGCTACTGTAGGCTATAGTGGGGTAGCACATATGGGGTACAGTTTTTCTAGGGTTTGTATTTGTACCCAACTTTTCCTTAGTCATTCTCATTCCTGTTTTCTTAATTCACACTGTTGACCCAGGTCAGACGGCGTCAACTGCCACTCAACGTGACGACTTCCGAAAATTTCGTGCAGGTGCCGACGCAGGTCCGTTGACGCCAGCTGCCACACAAAACTTCCGAAATCGTCAGTAAGTCGCATCGGAAATTTACTTACGTTTAACGTCGCGACAGCTACTGCTGCCCGTTGCCCGGGGGGAGGGAGGCCACGGTCGATCGCCACCGTTCGAGGCAAGGATCTGGCGGTGCCGAAGGAGTGCCCGTAAAAACATCGCCGCGAGGAGCAACTAACAAGTTCTCCTGGCCTGCTAGCACGCAACTCCTGGACCCCAAGACATCCTTCCTCGTCCCCCCCCCGAGGGGTATTACTCTCTAAAAAGAGGGGTAGGCTAGGAAAGTAGCTCTGATACCAGGTGTTATGAATGAACTTGCAGAGTGCGCAGTAAAACGAATAACGAGAATGATTGAGTACAGAATTACTGAATGACGATACAAGGAAAGTGTTGAGACTAAATAGGGGAAGTCCTAGCTAGGCGGGGAGGTCGGGAATGGATGGCTCAGTGATGTTGCGATTGGGGCGGAGGCCGACTCGGGAGTGGTTCGGCCGACGAAATAGGCCGAACAGGCTCGTCGCGTGACCCTCGGGATGTCCTCGCTGATAACTGACTACAGAATGGAATTCTAATTCCTTATAGAAACAAAAATAAGGAGACTGTTCTCGCTACAGTATGCCCCTCCCCCTCCCACAATGGCTTGAAACCAATGGCATTCCTCTCCCTGCTCTGCACCTCCACTCCATCCTATTCTTGCTTGAGCAATTTGCGGAGAGACACATTCGTGATTCCCACGCAATCAGGGCGCTACTGCCGCCTAGCTTCCAACCCAATTATCCTACTTTTGGCGCCACATTATTACGAAGTCGATGATTCGGTTCGCTTACATCCGCTAATCATGGCAGATGATGGCACTGGCGAGTGCCACGTGGCGAAATTGCCGCAGGGCCTCCTGTATCTTGTCCTCTCGCGCCTGCCGGGCCGCGACGCTGCGGCGGCCGAATGTGTGCACCCGACGTGGTACGCCACTCTTAACGAATGCGACCTGTGGATCCAGATGGCGAAACGCGATTGGCTGGTGACAGATGACGAAATCAGGGCCGCTGGATTACAGCAGGCGCCTTCGCCAAGTCAGCCTCCGCGCGAGAATCCGCGACGCGCAGCAAGCGCACGCGGAGACAGCGCAATTGTGCGCTGCTCCTCTGCCGCTCGAGCTCCCTCCAGTAGTGGATCGCCCGGGGTTTCCGCTCCACATGCAAGACCCGCAGAACCGAATTGCGGTGTGGCAAACGCCGAAGCATCTGTCGTTTCCGAATCGGATTCCGCAAAATCGGCGAGGGCGCTTTACGGATCGCACTACTTTTCCTACCGCCGCTACGGATCTCTCTACCCCCGCGCACGCCGCGTCTGGCACGTGCTGCGCACGTGGCTGCGCGCGCATATTCCGGAACTCGACGAGACGCTGCTAGCGGGCGCAACGGAGCAGCAGCTCGACGCGGCGGAAGCGGCGCTGGGGGTGACTTTTCCCCCCGCCGTGCGCGCCTTGTATCGCGTATGCGACGGGCAGATGCCGCGTTACGATAAGATGGTGGTGGAGGTGCGCGGGGAGCAGCGGCGGCGGAGGGGGAGGGGGAGGCGCACGCGCGGCGGGGATGCAGAGCGGAGGGGACGCGCGGAACAGGGTAGCGGGGGAGGGGGAGAAGAGGGGGGGACGGATAGAACAATGAGAGAAAATGAAGAGGAGGGGGAGGCGCGAGCGGGGGAGGAAGGAGAGGCGGACAGGGAACGAGGCGGCAGGGAGGAGGACGACGACGAGGAGGGGGAGGGGGAGGGGGAGGGGGAGGGGGAGGGGGAGGGGGAGGGGGAGGGGGAGGGGGAGGGGGGGGCGGAAGCGGAAGAGGAAGAAGACGAGGAGGAGGAGGATGAGGAGGCGGCAGTGGGGTCGATATTCCATGGGCTGTTGGGCAGCTACAGCTTCTACGACCACTGGGTGAGCACACGCCTGCTGCCACTGCGCCGCATTGTGGCCGGCACACTGCAGATCCGCACGCGCGTGGCCGCCACACGCCGCACCACGGCGCTGCTCGCACACGCCCGGGGCGGGCGCGGAGCAGCGGGGAGAGCCGGAGGAGCCGGAGGGGGAGGGGGAGGAGCGGGGTTTGGAGGGAACGAGTGGCCGGAAACGCAGATTCTTATCGGCGCGTCGTTCAATTACTCGAAGCTGTTCTTTCTGGATTGCGCCACGGGCATGGTGTCCGTGGGGGGCAGTGATGTGCTGCACGCCTGCACGTTCCTCCCCTGCGTGCCGCCCTCCCGCCCGCGCACCTGCCCGAATCCTCTGGCTTCAGAGGTTCCCCTCGCAGTAGCGGACGCTTTCCAGCAAGCGCCGTCTCCTGCATTGCAGGCAGGCGAAGGAGGTAATGGAGCGCCGTCTACTGACGCATCACCTGCGGCACCATCAACAGCTCCATGCAGCAGTGGCGGCGGCGGCAGGAGAGGCGGCGGGGATGGCAGCAGTGATGCTGATGGCATGCTGAGGTGGCTGGAGGAATACGCGTGGAGGCTGGCTAACGGGTGGTACAGGGTACGCACAGTGGTAGATGACATCCCCGCTAGAGGCATCTGCCTGTTCCCCGAGCAGGCACCTCTGTGCTCCATGGCTGTCACCAGAGGGGTGTGTGTGCGCGCCTCTGCTCTCTTCGTGCCGGAAGTGGCGCCACTGGTGCTGCCACGTCCGTCTGCTGCATCTGATTCCGCCTCTGCTGCTGTTGCTGGTGCTGCTGCTGCTGCTGCTGCTGCTGCTGCTGCTGCTGCTGCTGCTGCTGCTGCTGCTGCTGCTGCTGCTGCTGATGATGATGATGATGGTGGTGTTGCTGCTGGTGACGCTTCTTCTGGTGGGGGGGATGAGGAGACAGAGGCTGCAGGTGACCAGAGGGACGGCAGAGGAGGAACAAGGAGGAGGAGGGGTCATAGAGGCAGGAGGGTTGTTGGAGCAGGGGGGCAGGCAGGAGAGGAAGACGAGGAAGAGGAAGAGGAGGGGGAAGGGCAGAGGTGCTTCGCGTATTCTGTCCGCATGAAGCTGCTTCCTTTAGACCAGCCGCAGGAGGTGCTTCCGAGTTCTATCCCCCATGTCACCATGCTCCCCTCCTCTTCCACGCACGGTTCCGGTTCCCAGACTTGTGCCCAAGCCGCCTCTACTGCTGCCTCACACTCATCAGCATGGGCTGCTCACGCTATGAGCATTGACCACAGCACCGGCCAATCAGAGGGCTCTGCCGGTGACATGTCAGCGTGCCAGCTGCGCTCGCGCCATTGGGTGATCAAGGAGGAGGGGGAGGTGGTGGCGGAGGTGAGGGGGGATGCAGTGGTGGGCGAGTATCCCATCTTGAGGCGCGGAGGCAGTGAGTTTGTGTATCAGAGCTGTTCCCAAATGACTGGGCAGTGGGGGACTATAGAAGGGGATTTTACGTTTGTCCCCGGGGGGCTCATGAGGCCGACCGGAGCGGATTTTGATGCAGCAGTTGCGCCGTTCCCCCTGCAAGTGCCCGACTTTGTTTTTTGATTCAGCTGCGCTGCATAGCATATCCTTGTTCATTGGTGTGACAGAGAGGAGCTGTGGCCTTGCCATGATTGGTTTTCTGTACCATACCGTAATTGTTCCTTTTGTTTGTACAGTGCAACCTTCACTTTCCATGAACTGTATGTGCAGTGTGCCAATGTTAGAGTGTGCAAAAGATTGTTGAGCTCAAATGCTGTTGGAGCAAGTCACTCAGTGACGGTGTGATATCCGGGCGGCTGTTACCGAGGATCCGCACTCTTTTGCAAAGTCGTGTTTCGTGATGTTGCCATTTTACCAGCTGCTTTTGCTTTCGCCAATATCGCGAATTCGTCGCATTCTAGCAGCTGACTCATCATGAATTTTGGCTAGTTACCCATTGGAAGCTAGCAAAGGAGCACGAAGCCCAGAAAACCGTTAGCGTGAGATTCGGGGGTTCTCGACGTTAGGGACGCAGTGGGTGTTGATGGTTGGGAAAACAATGAGTTAGGCTGTTACGGAGTCAGCCGCGGCGACATATCTGTGCGGACCGTTCAGGCCCGTTCACAGCCCATGGCTGGCCTGTTTTTGGGATCATGCAGCTTGGAATGTGTGAGCGTGTTGACTTCTCGGAACGAATCCGCTAAATAGCTACGAGATGGACGATTCGGCAAGCATCTCTATGAGAAAAGGCACCAGCAGCGTGTTACCGAGCAGCACTGTTTCCAGCCACGAAAACGGGGAGAAAACCGCGGCGGGGAGACATCGTGAGGCGCAGTGCGAGCCGCTGCTGCAGCGCTCACGGGAGTGCGAGCAACGGCTGATACGCAGCGCAGGTCCCGTTCTGGCGCGGTCTGCATGCGCCGCGCTGAACCGATCTGCAGCCCTGTGCCTGCTGCGAGCTGCGTGCCCTGGACCCTTGGAAAGAGTCGCTGCGGTGTGTGGCTTAGGGGAAGGGAGAGGCATAGGTGGTAGAGGAGGATTAGGTGGTGGTGGTGGTGGTGGGGATGATGGTGGTGCAAGAGTGGGATCCAGAAAGGCATGTGCAGATGCAAAGGAGGCTCTTGCTCTCTGTCTGTCTCAGCAGCAGGAGTTGATTGTCACTCAGCAGGAGGCCAGGAGAACTTCCAATCTGAAGTGAAATTCTTGAATAGACAGGTTACGGTACCAGAGCAAGCAATCACTTGAACCCCTTCCCCTCGGGCTGGTTTTGGTCTGTCTTATGGTATTGTTATGTGTACTACCGTTGTTGTTGCCGGCTGGAAGTATAAGCCTAAACATCTTCTCTAACTGATTCTTTTCGGTCGCGTTTGGTCATGGCCGGAGAGCTTACTTTCATTCCTATTTAGCTTGCATCATATAAATTCAATGAAACATGTTGGTAACTACTCATTAGAATGGTCCTGGTAAGGATGGATGTAAACATGGACATGATATGCTTATACCGATACTCAGAATATTGCACTTGTTACCCCGTCGCTTCGCTTTTGCCTTGAGGACGCTTCGTGAACTCGGCTTGTGTCTCGTCTCAACTCTGAGGGGCGACATCTCAGCCGTAAAATGAGGGTCCGGGGTTCTCAAGAGCCCACCAGAACCTTCGTTGTCGATGTGGAAAGCTCGCTCCCTGGATCTTTTCTAGAATGTCCATGTCACTCTGCCGCTGGTCCCAGACACTTCTTTTTCCCGCCGAACCTCCACGTGTCGTAAATCTTGGCATTTGAAGGATGCCTTCGTGGCAACAATCTCTCTATGGATGAAGGCAACTTCTCACACGCAAGCACCTACCGTCACCGAATTCCCCCCCACAAGGTGACACGTCAGCGCATCAGTGCGAATCAGCCCTTCTCTTAGAAAACCCTTCCACTTCTCTCGCGTTTTGCTAGCAGCCAACCCCATCAGTCACATCAACTGCTCCTACTCGCATTTCTCCAACGCACTTCACGTATTCACTTCCTCGTCGTGACGTGTGCTTGGCTTCCTTGCATCCCTTTCAGGCTTGACTTAAACGCCTGATCCTCCCCGAATAGCTCGCGAACTTGCAAGCCTTCTCTTTAATCAAACGTCATGGCTTCGCTGGCTATCTCAGAGGGTCTGAAGGTCAGCTCCGGGGTGTCCCCAGCCTCGTCCTCATATGGCACGCGCGGAGACGTCGCTCAAGTGCGGCCAGCACGAATTGCTCGCGTCGGCAGGCGCGGCAAGTCCGCCGGTGCGCGCGCCATGGCGAAGGAGCTGCACTTCAACAGCGACGGCGCCACCACCAAGAGACTTCAGGTCCGTCCTGACCACTCTGTCTGTACTTGTCTGCACTTTAAGACGTTCCTTACACCACCATTGGCCACTCAGCGTCCTTGGTTGTTACTTTCCTCCATCGCGGTTCATTTTCCCTGAAATTTCTATCTTCTCAAAACTGAGTTCTGCTGTCCTCGGTGTCTCGCTGTCGTGCCCCTGTTCTCTCGCGAAAACAGGCTGGTGTGAACAAGCTCGCAGACTTGGTGGGAGTCACGCTGGGTCCCAAGGGTCGCAACGTGGTGCTGGAGAGCAAGTACGGCGCGCCTAAGATCGTCAACGACGGTGTCACCGTCGCCAAGGAGGTGAGCCTCTTTGCTCAATCCCACTTTCTGTGGCCGATCTAGTTCACCGAGCATATCTTTATGCTTACCATTACGGGTTCCCTGTACTCGATTCGTCCCTTCACACCTCTATACCCCGTGAACCGCTCTCGCCGTGCCATACACCTGAAATTTCGCAATCTTTCTTCGGTTTTCCGGGCAATGGCAAGAACATGCACTTCTACCCGTCATTCGGCATAAAACTGTCCCCTCTCATTGACCAATCTCCCCACGTCCCAATCACTTAATCAGGTGGAGCTCGAGGACCCTGTTGAGAACATCGGCGCGAAGCTCGTGCGCCAGGCCGCCGCCAAGACGAACGATCTTGCCGGCGACGGCACGACGACGTCCGTGGTTCTCGCACAGGGCATGATCGCCGAGGGCATGAAGGTCGTCGCCGCCGGCGCCAACCCCATTCAGATCACCCGCGGGATTGACAAGACGGTCGTCGCTCTCGTGAAGGAGCTCAAGCTCATGGCTAAGGAGGTACGCATTATGGAAGAGAGCGATGCAGACGGATCTCTATGTGAAAGCATCCCGTTTTTCTTTCCATCGCCACATCTTCCTCCCCGCCGTTCTCCTTCAAAATCGCCAATCGCCACATCTTTCTCTGCGATCAACCAATCTGATCCGTCGCTCCTATGCGTGCCGCCTCCCCGCAGGTTGAGGACGCGGAGCTGGCGCAAGTGGCGGCGGTGAGCGCGGGGAACAACGAGGAGGTGGGCGAGATGATCGCAGAAGCCATGAGCAAGGTGGGGCGGCGCGGCGTGGTGACGCTAGAGGAGGGCAAGAGCGCGGAGAACAACCTGTACGTGGTGGAGGGCATGCAGTTCGACCGCGGGTACCTCTCGCCCTACTTCGTCACCGATACTGAGAAGATGGCCGTGGAATACGACAACTGCAAGGTACTTTCCGTTTTTCTCCCTCTCCTTTTCCCCGCGCCCCCGCTCCCTCCTCCCGGCCCCGCCCTCCCTCCCCGGCCCCTCGGCCCACCTTTCCCGTTTTCACGTTACACATCGACTTCCTCCTCTGCCTCGTATCCCTTCCCTCCTCTTCCCTACCACTCACAGGGTTTTTCCATCCACGTAGCCGAGTCGCTATTCATGTAGCTGTTGTCTCTGTTTCACCTCCAACGAAGTGTTGGGTATTTAGATTGTTCGCGAGGGGGCTGGTGTCTAGCTCGAGGCTTTGACGAGCAACGGAGTGCACTAATACGTAAATACGTCACGCTACGGCGCGTTTCCATAAACCCCTCAACGTCCACGTAGTTAACGTACGTTCACTCGGTGCTGCACCCGACCCACTAGTTTTGCCACTCCATAAATTTCTATTCCCCCCTGCTCACCTCTCCTCTTCCCCTTCTCCCGGCCCTCCCACCGTCCTTTCTTCCCGTTCTTCCCCCTCTTCCCGTGCCGCCGCAGCTGCTGCTGGTCGACAAGAAAATCTCGACGGCGCGCGACATCATCGGCATTCTCGAGGACGCGATCCGCGGCTCGTACCCGCTGCTGATCGTGGCGGAGGACATCGAGCAGGAGGCGCTCGCGACGCTCGTCGTCAACAAGCTGCGCGGCTCGCTCAAGGTCGCGGCGCTCAAGGCGCCCGGATTCGGCGAGCGCAAGAGCCAATACCTCGATGACATCGCCATCCTCACCGGAGGTACGATGCGGGTTTCTTATCTCTTGCTGGCTTCCGAGACGAATGCGTAAGCAAGCTCGTTTGAGGATGTTTCCATCCTAACGGGAGGTGCGGTGCGGCGGGAGTTCGTTTGCTTCCTTGGGTCTCGCCGTGCTTCCCGGCGAGGCTCAATGCTGGTCGCGTGTCCGCGAGGGTGATGTGAGCCGGGGCGAGTCGGCACGGTCCGACAGGGTTTTGGGTTCGGAGCGGTCAGAGGGTGGGTAGATGGGGCAACGGTGGAATGGTGCTCTAGGCACAGGGATGCGGGAAGGAGAAGTAGGAGGAGAAGTTTCCAGAAGAAGGGATCGGGGTTTCTCATCACTTTTCTGATTTTCCTTCCCACACCGTCGGCTCATTCGGCCGCAACCCATCCTCCCTCCCTTGCAGGCACGGTGGTGCGCGAGGAGGTGGGCCTGGCTCTCGACAAGGTGGGCCGCGAGGTTCTCGGAACAGCCGCCAAGGTGACGCTGACCAAGGACGCGACGACGATCGTGGGCGACGGGTCGACGCAGGACGCGGTGGCGGTGCGCGTGTCGCAGATCCGCAACCAGATCGAGAACGCGGAGCAGGAGTACGAGAAGGAGAAGCTCAACGAGCGCATCGCCAAGCTGTCCGGCGGCGTCGCCATCATCCAGGTGAGCGCGCGCTCCTGGCTGTTACCTTTGGCACGCGGGGTAACGCTGGATGGATTCGATTCACGCTTTCTCACCTCTCACGTGTAACGAACGAAACACCAAGCAGCCGCCAAGGCTCTCCTCTACGTGCTGTGTGCTCATGCGCGCATGCGT